TGAACAGCAGCTTTTTTTCCCCTATTTTTCCCCAGCCTAAACTTATTTATCTGAAAGCTGAACTTTGCTTGCAGGCAAATGGATTTTTGGGATCAATTCTTTAAAATGAGGCAGTGACTCAGTACCAGGCTGGGATGCAGCTCCCCTGTTCAAACAACAACAGCAGCCACCTGCAGTAGGGGAAAGAGCTGCCAGTGTGCACTTGGAGACCTGTTGTATCCTCCTAAAGATCCAGGAGGTGAACATTGCACTCAAATCCTTTCTCATTTAGTTCTGCTCCATTATATTCATCTCAGGAACGAGCACCTGCTTTATTTGTTCCTTCCTTTAAAGAGGAGGGAGGGAACTGCTTTGGGGCTTATTTCAGCCCAGGTGATATTATCCCGACTCCCTCAGCTCTGTTTGCAGTTTCAGTTGGAGAAGAAGTTGTTCTGGTTGTGCCTTCAGGGATTGGAGGCCAAGCTCAAGTGTTTTCTCCTGGAGATGAGGGCTTTGAGGTGGGACAGATCTTCATGGGGGGGTTGTCCCCTTCTCTGCCCAACTGACCCCAGGTCCCAGGCTGAGGGAGAGCAGCCCCAGCCAGCCTGGCCCTCTCTGGGCAGGGGGAGCCCCGGGAGCAGAGCAGAGCAGCCCTTCAGGAGTGGCAGAACTTGCAAACACGGAGGATCTTTTCTCATCCGTTGTTTTGTGGTGGTAGGAACTCCCCCCATGGCAGCCCATCGTGGAATTATGGAATCATGGACTGGTTTGGGTTGGGAGGCACCTTAAAGCCCATCCAGTTCCACCGGGCAGGGACACCTTCCACCATCCCAGGTCACTCCAAGCCCCATCCAACATGTCCTTGGACACTTCCAGGGATCCAGGGGTGGCCACAGCTCCTCTGGGAATTCCATCTCAGCCCCTGGTCAGGTGTTCTGCCCTGATTTAAGGAATTCCACTGGGGGTGTTCCACAGAATCCCTCATTGTCTCTGCCCCCACAGAACGTGCCGGTTGCTGGCGCTGCTGCCCTGGAAGGAGGGAAACATTCCATAAATCCTTCTGTCTCCTTGCTGTGTTATGATCTATAGGAGTGACAGGGTTTGGAGGCTTTTCCATGCTCCCTGATGCTCATTTCCAGGCTCCCTTGCAGCTGCAGCTGCACTGGGATTGCTCTGGGATTGTCCCAAGGACATGCTGTCCCTCGGGCTGGCAGCTGCAGGCTCAGGGAATTCCAGAGGGGTTTGCAGGTATTCCAGAACCTCCAGGCAGCCCCTGGGATCCAAATGCCAGAGGATGCTGTGTGAGCCACCAGGATCCCACAGCTTTTTTTTCAGGAATCAAAAGGAGTTTGGGAAATTGTGTTTGTCCTGTCTGGGGCAGTTTGTCACTACAAGGTGTGATGGGAGCAAGTCTGGGCTCTCTGTGCTTGGATAAAGAAAACATGGAACAAAGCTGCAATTACCCAAATCAACCCTCAGTTCCGAGGCAAGAAACCATTCCTTGGTAACTGGTAATTAACATCTGCAGAGTGATTTCTTCTTTCAAAGCTGACAAAGCAAATGAACGTGGGAGGGGTCA